TTAATTAAAAAATAAAAAATCAAAAAAAATGGATAAAATAAAGAAAGAAGACAATTATCAAGACCCCTAACTCAACTCCAAGACTTTTTATCATCATGTTTATTAGAAGAAAGTTATTATGTGAGTTATGATTTTGCTATGATGCCAATCGCCCCCCCAAGATTTGTGTTGTCAGAAAATAAGCTTATTAGAAATTACATAGAAATTTATATTCCTTTTGGCCAGTAAAGTGTTAAAGTTTAAAGAATGAAGACTATTTCATACTTCTGAGCATGAAGTATCATGGTATTGAACTTAATTTCTCCACAAATTCTTTTCAACCAGCTGGACTGATAGTTCAGTGGTTAAGAGCACTGGCTGTTCTTGCAGAGACCCTGGGTTCAATTCCCAGCCCTCACATGGCTGCTAATAACCATCCATAAGTTCAATTCCAGGGAATCTGAAGCCTTCTTCTGAGCTCCATGGGCAATTCACAACATGGATGCATTTACATACATGCAGGCAATGTACTCATACTCATAAAATAAAAAATAATAAATTAAAAAATTTAAATAAATAATTCTTTTCAAAAGCCACAAGGTCATCAAGAAGCATAAATAAAATCACATGTGACTCACACCATCAGAACTGTTACTATGAGACAGAAGCTATAACTAACCTTGAGTCACTTATAAGAAAAAAAAAAAAAACTCTGGCTGTATAAACTGTGCATGTAGAATGAGGGACTAAGGGAAGGGAAGCTAGGGAAGGAAGATTAAAACACGAACAAACTCACCTCAGGAAGAAGATATGTAAAACAAAGTGCCAAAATACAAACACAAGTCAGTATTTGGTGGTTCATACCACTGGCCACAAGAAGGGGCTTTAAATGTAAGCAAAATCCACCATGAATCTTGAAAGTGCCATTTCCATAAAAGAATTGTATAAACTGAGAATGTGTTTTGCTTCTCAGAAACATAACAGGGAAAGGAAAGATGGGGAGAAATTAAGGACTCAGTAGACATTTATAAAAGCACAGAGTATTAATCCATCATCTCCCTTCCACCACATCATAATCTCTTCAAAAAAATCCATAAGCTAGCATGGAAGCCTGTATTGGAGTATCACAGTCCATGAAACATCAGTATCAGGGAAGAGATTATTTTTCTATAAACCCTCGTATGGAGAAAACAGAAAAATGGAAATACAAACATCTCAGTCAATAAAAACTCTAATCAAGTCAGGCATGGTGGCACGCACCTTTAATCCCACCACGCAGGAGGCAGACATAGGTGGATCTCTGTGGGACTGAGGTCAACTTGGTCTACATAGCAAGTTCCAGGCCAGCCAGGGCTACAAGAAGACCCTGTCTCAAAACAAATATTCTAAGCAAATAACCATGAAAAGGTCAACTATAAAACAGCACACTAAATTCAATTAAATATCCTCAACCAGTATCCATGGATATACATACAAATACATACATTCACACATAGGTACACATATGTGGAATCTACAGAGCTGGGGTTGTAGTTCAGTAGTAAAGTGCTTGATGAGCATGACAATGCCCTGAGCTTCATATCCAATGCCATAATACATAGATAAATATTGCAGAAAAGGGAATAGATTTAAATGGAAATTTAATAATGGAAATGGGTGCACTTGGAAACTATCCAAAAGAACAAAAATTACAGAAATTAAAAGAAACCGAGAAAAAGTGGTTACAGGAAGATTTTGTTTAAAGGTTTGACGTGTGCATATTTATGTGGACAACAAAGAAACCAGAATTGCTAAAACAACTCTAAAAAGGACTAAAGTAAGGTAATCTGTCTGCCTAAGTTCGGGGTTTACCATAACTACTAAAATGAAAACTGTAGGAGTTCCAGAGAACTAGATAATCAAATTAATAGAACAGTAGAGTATCCAAAAATAGACCCACAGAAATATTAGCAATTTATTTTTCACAATTTAAGGGAAGTTAGACTTTTTCAAATGGTGCCAATGTCATTGGACATTTACAAGCAAAAATCAGATGAAACTCCACCTAACTGATCCACTCATAATTACTAAAAAATAACTCAAAGGGGCCATAGACTTAAACATAAATTAAATCGTTTTAGAATAACATGGAAGGATACCTTCAAGTTCTAGGGCTAAGTAAAAAAGATTCTGAGACTTGATAACAAAAGCACAGTTCATAACAAAAAAAATGGATACATTGGAGTGTATCAAAATTTTAATTTTTTTTCAGAAGGGCCTATTGAGAGGATTAAAAACAAGGAGAGACATTTACAAACAATTCAGCAAAGGACTAAATATCTAGACTACACAGAGACTGCCCAAATTCAACAACTTTTTAATTTTTAAATTTTATTTTTATTTTGTGTGTGTTTTGTCTGCAATGCCCATGGAGGCCAGAAAAGGACATTGGATCCCCTGGAACTGGAGTTACAGACAGTTGTTAGTCAATACATGGTTTCTGGAAAACCACAGATCCTCTGCAAGAGCAGCCAGTCAGTGCTCTTAATCGCTAGGCCATCTCTCTAGCCCCTCAATTTTTTTTAATCAGGGTATAGCACAAACACAGTCCCCCACTATCACAAATTATGCAGTCAAGTTTCCCACATTTGGGGAAATCACAAGGGTCAACGCATCCCAAGTGCACTGGATGAATCTTGCCCTGGGAAAACACCTTCCTGATCATGGTATCTCCCCTGTCAGGTTAAGGATCAACTAACTTTTGTTAACTGGGTAAAAGATATGAAGAAGCATTTACCAAATAGGCTATCTAGGTGACAAAAAATCACATTCACAGATGTTCAACAACATTAGTGATTAGGCAGGTGCAAATTAAAAGCATAGTAATTTATCACAACATACTTATTGGGTTCCGGACAAAATTAAAAGTAGCACTAATACCAAATACTGGCAAAGATGCAGGGAGACTAGATCATACACACATTGCTAATGGAAATGTCAAATTAGATAGCCTCTCTTTAAAAAAAAAGTCTTAAAACATTGTAAAAATTTAAATGTGCAGTTATTATATTCAAGATGAGCATTCTCCCTTCCACAGAATGAAAACTATATTCATGCAAAAACCTTTATATGAATGTCTGCAGTCCGACGGCTTCTCTACCACAATTTCCAGGCTCCTTTTCACTGTTCCTTTTCTTTTTAAATTATTTTAAATGACTAGAACTTACCATTTTACCAATTTTAGGTATACTTTAGTGCTATTATGTACATTCACAATGCAAGCTGCACCACTGTCCATCTTTGGAACGCTTCATCCTGGAAACCACATCTTGGAAACTCCACAGTCACTGAACAACAGCTTGCTCTTCCACTTTCCCCTCCCTCTACAACTGTTATTCTGATTTCTATCACTATGAGTTTGACAAATTACAGGTATCTCATACAGGTGCATGCTTGCATTGTCTTTTTGTGACTGGCTTATTTCACTTACTCAAATGTCCTCAAGTTAATCCATGCTGTTGTATATTCAGAATTTCCCTCCTTTCTAAAGTCGTACGATAAATTGTTCATTGTTTGTTTATACCACATTTGCTTATTCATTCATTTGTTGATGCCTTGGTAGTTCTCACTTTTTGGTATAATGTTATAATAAATATGTGCATAAAGATATCTCTGATTAGGTTCCTAAAACTAATACAGACCCCTTTTCAATCCTTTGTGTATGTAAATAAAACTTGGACTGCTGGATCATAGAAAAACTCTAGTTTTTTATTTTTGAAGGAATTGTCATACTGTTTTCCAAAGCAGCTACACCATTATACATTCCTGCCAACAGGACACAAGCAACCTAACTTCTCTGTCCCTTCACTTCACTTACTACTTCTGTGTGTGTGCACATGCGTATGCACACTCATGTGTGCTTATAGCAGCCATCAGAATAATGTGTGAGGCAGTATTTCTTGAGATTTTCATTTTGATTTCTATTGGTGTTCATAAGCATCTTTTCATAAACTTCTTGATAACTGCATCTCTTCTTTGAAGAAATGTTTATTTTTAATTTGTTTTTTTTTTATTTTACATGTATGAGTGTATTGCCTGCATGGATGTAAGTGCACCTGTGTTATGAAATGCCAGTGGAAGTCAGAAGAGAGCATTGGATTCCCCTGGATCTGGAGCTACGGACAGTTATTAGCTGGCATGTGGATGCTGTGAGTCGAATGAACTCAGGTCCTCTGCAAGAGCATCACTGAGCCATCTCTCCAGTCCCAAAGAGATGTCTATTAAAATCCTTCAACTAGGGCTTGAGATATACATAGCTCATCAGTTAAGAGTACTGACTGTTCTTTTTGAAAAAAAAAATTTTTTAATGTTATGTGTATGAGTGTTTTGCCTGGGTGGATATAAGTGCACTCATGTGCAGTGACTGGAGGTTAGAAGAGGGTGTCGGATCGCCTGGAACTGGAGTTATGGACAGTTGTTAGCTGCCATATAACAAACCTGGGTCCTCTGCAAGAGCAGTCAGTGCTCTTCACCACCGAGCCATCTCTCCAGCCCCTGGCTGCTCTTGCCAGGTTCAGTTCCCAGAGCCCACATGGCAGCTAATAACTGTCTGTAACTCCAATTCCAGGAGATTCGATGCCCTCTTCTAACCTCAGCGGGCCTTGCAACACACATGATATACTTACATACATGCGTGCAAAACACTTATCCACATAAAATTAAAAAATAAATTATTTATGCAGTTGTTTTTTATTTTAGCATTCTTATAGCAGTTTTTTTCTGTTTTTCCTTTTTCCTTCAGAATGCTAAGCAATCATTTACAACTAAGCTAGACCCATAACCAAGCTCTATTTATAATGGCCAAAACTTAGAAAACACCTAGTTAGCCTCCAGAAGGTGAATGGCTAAACAAATCTATATCACAAAACATCACTCAACAACAAAAAGAAATTAAGTATTTCTACATGCAACAACCTGGATGGATCTCTAAGGAATTATGCTAAGTGAAAATAAAAACCTTCAAGAGGCTGTATTGATTCTAGGGTCTCATGTATGCTAAGAGCTGTATCTCCAGCCATCTTTTCACTTTTTACTTTTTTAAAGAGAAATTCTCATTTAAGTTGCCTGGTTTGACATTGAACTCACTTTCTAGTCTACACAGGCCTTGAGCTTGCCATCTGGTTTCAGAATCCTAAGTAGCTGAAATTTCATGCCTGGGACACCAAATCCATCTGTATAACATTCTTGGTGACAAGATTAAACATGTAAAAAATAGATATATGCAGGTTAAAAAGATGGCTCCACAGTTAAGAACACAGGCTGTTTTTGCAGAGGACCTAGGTTTAGTTCCCAGCACCCACATGGTAGCTAACAACCATAGGTAACTCCAGTGCCAGAGGATCTAATCACCTCTTCTGGCCTACAAGGACATTGTATGCACAGATGCACTTATATATATGCAAGCAAAACACTCATGCACATAATAAATAAAAAATAAATAAATATAATAAAACTGACAAGTGCTTGTTAGCAGTTAAGAACAAAACTAAGTGCAAAAGAAAAATCGAAACTATTAAAGGGCAACATGCAGAATCTTAGTGTTGTGAAATTATGCTGTATCTTGACAATAACGATGCATATAATGTTTATGATAATGTACTGTAGTTTTGCAAGATGTTAACTATTATTGGAAACCAGATAATAAATATATGATCATTCTGCTAAATTGTTCATAAATTTACAATCTTTAATGAAATTGCAAGCTTCAATTTAATGTAAATTTAGAATGATATCAAAACAAATTTTTAATTAAAATAGCAATGAAATTAAATCAGGAAATCATAAGTAAATATACCACAGGGCATACAGTATGATGCAAAATGACATGACAGTGTTAAGCCAAATATATCAACCATGTCAATAAGTACGAATCAGCTTAAATTACCAATTAGAAGAAAAATTATTTTGAAATTCATTCACAGAACAGAACATAAATCTATGATGACAATAAAAGACAATATTTCAGGGCTGTAGCTCTGGCTCACTCGTTAAAAGCACTGACTGCTCTTGCAGAGAACTGGGGTTCGATTCCCAGCACCCACATGGCAGCTAACGACTGTCTGTAACTCCAGTTCCAGGGAATCTGATACCCTCTTCTGACCTCCTCAGGCACTGGATGACAAGGGTGCAATTACCTATATGTAGGCAATACATGCATACACATAAAATAAAAATAATACAGTATTTTTAAAAGACAATATTTCAGGGACTAGGAAGATGGTTCAGTGGGTAAGAACGCTTGCTGTAAAAACATGGGAACCTGAGTTCAAATCTTCAGGAACCCCCATAAAAAGCTGGGTATGCTCATGCATGCCTGTAACCCCAACACTGTTCAGGACAAAAACTGGAGGATGCCTGGGGTTTGTTAGCCATCAGTTTAGCTCTAGATTCAGTGAGAGACCGTGTCTCAAGGGAATAAAGAACAGCATGACAAAGCAGGACACCCAAAGACCTACTCTGGCCTCTATAGGTAAGCACTGGGCATATTGCCCACACACCTGTGTATATACATTACATGCCACATATATCTCACACACACAAATAAAATAGAGACAGTATTTCAAAAGTCTAGAAATAAAGAGATGCAACATAAACAGGGTAAAAATAAACAAGAAACCAGAAATTGCATGCTTTTGTTCTTTTTCTTTTCTTTTTTTTTTTTTTTTTTTTTTTTTTTTTTTTTTTTTTTTTTGGTTTGTTTGTTTCTGTCTTTTTGAGACAGAGTCTCCCTGCAGCCCCAGATGGCTATGGAACGCTCTATGTCATAGACCAGGCTGGCCCTCAATCTGCCTGCCTCTACTTCTGGAGTGCTGGGATTAAAGTCATGATGCACCACCACTACCCAGTTCAGGAGTTGGTTTCTTAATATTGTAAAGCTTGGCTTTTAAAAATATTAAATGAAGGGCTGGAGCGATGGCTCAGCAGTTAAGAGCATTGACTGCTCTTGCAGAGGACACGGGTTCAATTCCCTGCTCCCACACTGCAGCTAGCAACTGTGCCTAATTTAAATTCCAGAGGATCTGACACCTTCTTCTGACCTCTGAGGACACTGCAACACAGGTGCACTTACATACACACGGGGAATACCCTCATGTACATAAAAAAATAATAATAAAATATTTTTAAATATTAAATAAAGATGTTTATTTTATATTTATATTTTATGTATGTGAGTGCTTTGTCTGCATGTATGTAAGTACACCTTTGGAACTGGAGTTAAGGATTGTTGTTAGCCTCTATGTGGGTGCTGGAATTCAAAACCAGGTCTTTTTTGCAAGAGCAGCCAGTGCTCTTAACCACTGAGGCATCTCCCCAGTCCCTCAACTTAAATTTTTGAAAAAAAAGCAAATCACAATGAAAACTATTCAAAACTACAGATTATCCACAAAAATATATAAATGGCTCTAAAATATATGTAAGACATTTAACTTAAGATAAACACAAAACACTGAGATAACATTTCTCAGTTGCCAGATTCGCAATAATTCAAGAGCCTGACAATGCTTTGTTGGGCCATGTGTCTGTGGGCGAGGCAGCTCCCATGTAGTTAGTGGGAAGCCAGCAGCTCCTGAGGGACACCTCAGAAATAGCAATGTTTACCCTTTTACCAAGAAGTTCTCACTTCTAACGTTATTCTAAAATCATGCCTCTAATAATAAAAAATTATACATAAGACTGTTTCTTGTATTGAT